CCCCCCCGGGTCTCAATGTGGTCAGTCTTTTTCTGATGAACACAAACCCTATTGTGGTCAAACTGCTTCAGTTGCTTGAGGGACTTGGCAGGCTGATACTGATACAGTATGCCTGAGTACTGATGCAGTACCCCTTTTCTAAGGCTTAACATAACCCATTACACCAACCTCTGTTTCACATCCGTAAGAGAGTATAATCTCCTTTGTGCAATACTTTTGTATAAACTCATAAAAAATACATTTTCTTCCATATTCCTGTTCAGAAGGAAGGCTGTAACAACAGACCAACAGAAATTAGATTAAACGTCCAAACATCACAAAGTACAAGTGCATCCAACCTCTGTTTACACATCTTTTATTCTCTCCATACTGCCTAGTCTAGTCTTAAAGTGAATTTCCCAATCCGTGTGTTAAACTGAAGAAAACTTATTTACTTTCAGAAGCCAAGTTTAAAAAAACTCCAACCATACATTTGTATCAAACTTCGGCAGAGATTATAATGACAACACAAAACTATTGCAACATCTGCATGAAAACCTTCAACTATTAAGGATCCTTTTAAAATAAAGAAGTCATTTTTAAAAAAAAATATATACACAGCAGATTTTAGGGCTGAGTTTAAATATAATGGTTGAGCTATGGCAGGCTGCCTAATCTCATTAGAGTAAAAGCTTAAGGAAAAGCATTATGAAAATGCTAGATGTGTTTTCATCTTAAACGATTCTCTATCGACAGAAACGTATCGGCTATTTGGCATCTAAAAAGGCATTTCTGTTTCTGTAGGGCAGGCAAAAATTAGAGTTACACAATAAAGGCTCATACAAAGTACTCCAGCTGCAGAAACTTGATTTGCTAGAGAACTCAGTCTTGCAATCCCATAATCCTACATTAGAGGAGAAGAGAACCACTGAATAGAACTGTTAAAGATTTGTTCTCTTTTATCATAGAAGCATGGCTCTAGCTACACCCACAAGCCCGCCGTGTCTAAAACAGTACTGCCCCAGGCGGCTTAGGCTCAATAAGCCAAGTAAAACCGCTTCCTCACACAACTGCACACAACGTGTACTTGTGTTTTACAAGAGCACTTCAATTTACAGCTAGGAAATACAAATGCTATTCCTCCCCTTCCCCCCCATCCTCGCACGTGTTGCAAATGTATTTTAAAGAGACGAAGAAAAACAAAAACAGGCGCTTGAAATGGCAAAATCACAAGGCAAGGTAAGGAGTGAAGGGAGACGGGGGAAAAAAACTCGGCGAACCACTACGACAAGATACATTCGTTACCATCCTCTCAACGCATACTTTTTTTACGCAGATCTAGCAAAGTGTGTTGACGTAACCGACATGATAGCCTCCCGTTCACAGAAGCAGAGGTCATTAAAAAAAAATGTATACACATATCAGGGGTGCACTGATGTGTCAGCATGATGGACACAAGCGACAAGCACCATTTTATACGGTGAAAATACACAGCATGCCGATAGCTATGCCTCTTCTTACCCTGCGCATACTGTAATTTGATTTTCAGATGGGTGCACCTACTGCGGTACAGAAGACGATAACTGCCTACGGTGTGGCGTACATGGGGCTGTAATTGAGGGAGACACGGCCCAGAAGAGCAGCATCTAGAGACATTTTACAGCCGCTGAACATGGCGGCGTACACACACACACACCTGAAAATCATCAAGACTTCGACAAGACTAGAAAAAAAAAGACAAGACCGGCTTTCCAGTTCTGACTGAGAAGAGGCCCCTGGCATCCTGTCTTATGTCTATTCACCAGCTGAATAGCCAGGAGAAGCTGTCACTAACAGTTATCTGAAGGGCCCGCGTGCCTTCGTCTCTCTTCCAACCACAAGCAATGGGCGCAAGGCAGGGTACAGCCAGGGCCAGAATGTTTTGGACTGTGGGAGGAACCCAGAGGAAACCCGGCACGAACCTGGGAAGAGCACCCAAACTCTACACAGACAGCAACCCAGGTCCAGACCTGAACCCAGGGCCCCTGCTCTGCAAGGCAGGAGTGCTCACCACTGTGCCACCCTGACCTGCTCCCAGTCAGATTTAACAGAGCGCTACTGAATACAGACAGGCTGGGAGCCACCCACTTCCTGATGTCAGTGCTTCTGTGTTTTACCGAAGGAAGTGCATCATTGCAGAACGTATCGCAATTGCCAATCTTGATCTGCAGTGCGCTGCTTGTGGATGCATTTTTTTGTTAAAGAAAAAATGGCGCGAGTTTTCCGTTTTTCTCCTGTTGCCGTGAATATATTTCCCATTTAAACTGATAAATGAAAGTCATAATTACAACACACAGTATTTCGCTACATGTATACAAACTATGTTTGTTTTTAAAAGGAGTCAGAAATACAGGAAAAAAAAAACAAGATGCATCTTATCTGCATATTAGTATATTGTACTGTCAATATTTTATAAAGTGATGGCGATATCTTACGTGCCTGTTATTGTGACACAAAATGTACCTGTCACCAATAATCCAAGTGTATTTGTGTGTGACCACATGTACACTGGTGACTAATCAGATTACATCTTAGTCACATTTTTTTTCTTGATGATCTTAAACTAATGCAATATGTACAAGCTATTGGTGTTTTTTTATCATTTTGGTCAAAAGCTCAGTTTTACTTTCTTTCAGTACTTTAAAAGCTTGTGCTATTTAATATCGGGATTATGCTGACATCAACTGAGAAAACCTTTATCAGTGCACCCCTTGTACCTGTGTATATATGCATGTGTACGTGTGTGTGAACAGATTGTGCAATACGCGAGTGTCAAACCAAAAAGACAAATCCCTCCCTGACTGTGCACAACAAAACAACACCCACACCCTTTCCACACAACTTGAAGGTCACGGAAGGTACACGTTTCCTTATAACAATCCGAGGAGGGTAGATTTTAGTGTGAGTTAAACTGCACCAATAAAAATAAAAAAAAAATCACTAAATTATAAAAGAGGTCAGCACAATTTGTTGTTCTGGGGGAGAGGCTGTCAAAATCGATATCTGACGCAGCTGAACAGTTCATCTGTGCAATTTCATTCAGCACCGGTGAATGTTGTGTAGTTAGTTCTCCGACGCAGTACATCCATAAACACGCGCACATCGTTGCTGTTTCGGCAGGTTACAACAGATCAGCTGCGGAGGTTGTGATGTAGTGCAGAAAGCCAGACCCAGTGCCTTTTCCCCACCGTGGTTTTGCTGGAGCGGCACTGCTGTCGAGCGAGCTCAGCAGCCTTTTACAGGCACTTCCCCCACCTGCGAAATCTGTCGTACACTTACCAAAATGAGGTTGTAAATTTGCACTTATTGCTATAAAGGATGAAATTCGAAACTCCTAATCTGAGCTTTTATTGTCGTTCCCCCCCCCAAAAAAAAAAATTACGCAGTAGCAAAATGTACAGACTACCAGGCAGCATCAACCTTTCCTGGTTTCGACAGGGAGGATTCCTGAAAAACTTCTGCAAACTGCCGCCACTCAAGATACAGCCATTTCGGCAAACAGCCCAAACCACACCCACGCTTCCCACGTCGTCTGCTGGAGTTTCCCGTCGGGGGGGGGGGAGGCCGGACGAGCTGCTTTCACGGCCCCGGCCCCCCCGCTGGCTACGTGCTCGTGTGGCTCTGCTCGTGGCTCCAGAGGCTGAAAGCGGTCTTGAAGGTCCGGTGGCAGAGCTTGCACATGTACTGCCTTTTGAAAGTGAGGGCGGAGAGCGTGGGGGCGTGGTAGAAGAGGGTGTCCGATTCCTGAGGGGTCAGGGGGTCGTCGGCCGCCTCCGCCTTGGAAGAGCGGGCCCGGCCGGATCTCTCCCCCTCCGCCCTCTTCGGCCTGGGCCCCGGGGCGGCCGCCGGCG